TCCTGCATCATATTGCACTGAAATCGTAACCCTGTTGATGTCGATACAACTTTTGGAAGTACTTCAAACTGTTAGTCCACGATTTTCTAAAACAACACAGCAAAGGAGGAACAATAAACATGTATTAAAATGTAAACAAATACATTGCTGAGTCCTTCGCCTCGTTCCAACAACTACACTGATCCTGAGGATAAAAGGGGCAGGGCTAGGTGTTGGCGGATAATGCTCCGTAATATGGGATATAATGCTTTCAGTAATGCTCCGCAAAAGGCCATATAATGCTCCAAATAATGCTGATAATGCTCTGCCGGATGGAATATAAACTCCTGAACCTTGCGGTATTGGGCTAAGAAAAACGCTATAATATTGCACCCATGCTATGCCACATAGAACGCACAATCTGGATCCGCCGCAGAGACTCGGCTGAACTAACGGCCTCAGTAAGACCGGTGCCGGTTAGAGCCTTCCCAAGTCGTTTCTGATACGCCAAGAAGGACTCCTTGATCAGCTTCTGCCTCTGAGTTTCCCTCTCCAAACGGGACTTTCCTTGTTTGTGTCTCGCAGCAGCAATATGGGACATAATTATACTCTTCTTCCCTGATAATGTTGTATGGCATGCCAGGCACACTAACTTGCCACAGTCGCTTTTGAGCGGCTCCGCACCCGTGTTTCGGCACTGATGGCCACTTCAGTGCTCTGTCAATGAGCTACTCGCGTCCTTTTGGAAACATTTTCAGACTTGGTAATACATGTAGCTGTTTTCTGAAAAGACCGCTTCCTCGCTATCGCGGCAGGATCTGCAGTTTCCAACTCGACGACGTCACTATCATCAGAGGACTCCGCCAAAAGCCGCTCATCTGGAGAAAGCCCAGCTTCCTCCCAATCCAAAGAACGGCATCGCGGCGAGTGGCTGCTAGTTAGCTGGTCTTACACAATGGTCAATGTCCGGTGAAAGTCCAGCGTTACTCTTCGACAAAGACATGGACTCTTGCTTCGATGAAAAATGTTTTTTTTGTAACATTGTGGACGGTAACCGGGTAAGATCTGGAATGTGTGCGTGTGCGCACCTCCACTGTTCCATGCTGCCTGCTGGCTCACATTTGTTTCGTTGGTTCGGCGTTGTTACCATGTTACCAGGCCGGATCTTCAAAAGTAAAGTAACACGTTAGTTGCTGGCCGAAGATAGACTTCCGGGACCGGAAGTTTTTGAGAGCACTGTGCTGGACCGCAACTACATGCATGCAGTATACCAGGTATACTGGGCCTGGCACTGCGTGCCACGATCTGTTTGGTACCATGCATGATGTGTGCGGTGGTCTATCGCTTGTAGTAATACTAGTACATCGCGTATGTAATAAATGTTGCCAATCAAAGACCAACGCTATAGCCGATACGAATCTGTACATGAAGATGTGTGTAGATCTACTATGCAGTCATGTAGAACGTCGTATAATGCCATTTGTGGCCTCGTAATGCTTTATAATGCTCGTAATGCTCCAGGTGGTGTATAATGCTCGATATAATGCCGGCATTATCCGCCAACACCTAGGCAGGGCTATGGTTGGAGGTACTGAGAGATAAACAAGGCACTCCATAATAATAAAATCTTACACATCTTTTGGTGAGTATGAATGATATCCAGTCGAACCTCTTTAGGACGAACACCAAGGGACAGATGGTATTTATTCTGTGAGTTTGCCTTAACCAATTTTATAACCAGTGAATACAATTATTTCTCCAATAGACATACGAATAGATTTCTTCTACAGTGAAAGATTCAAAGCCACACCGACTCATTGACTCGTCTCGTATGAAACACTAGAGAGGTTCTGCAAAACGAAAATGCGTACAAACTTTCGTTCCATGTCATGAAGCGCGAAACTTCGCACGAACTTTCGCAACTTTGGACGCTAAACTTGCAGGGAACGCGAAATGAACAGTCGTACACACTTTCAGGGCTCACAGTAGGCATGCAGGATCGACAAAAGCGTCGTGCGAGGGCGGGTTTGGTGCACGTGAGTCGCGTGACCCCGGGAGAGTACCGATCGTGTGTACATCCCACACAGAAAAGAGAAAGAACCCGAGTTGTACTTTTACCATGTGTACTGCTCTCGTAGTTTTAGAGCCGATGTTCGCGATATTTTGGAGGAGAAGGCGAAACGCAACCTGTGCTAGTCCCAGTAAAAACAACATGCCATGTTCGACCAAGAGCTGATCCTACAATGAGCGATCGTGATGATTCCACAGGTAAGAAGACAAACAAACGAGTCAGAGCTCGCCAGGCAGGTAACGCCGAGAACATGATGATACCACACGGAGCTGGTGATCGGATGGAGGTGAACGGGACCAGCAAATCCACCGGGCGTTTGTCGAGGGCCACTGAAGACCAGGTTTCCCAGGGTGCCAGTTCCTCCATGATGGCGAACTGCGCTGCCACAAGAACTCCAGCGAGAATGAAAGCACAGCAACCAACGCCGCGGGCGAACTGAGGAGAGAACACTGAACAATCTGTGCACAATGATTTTCTCTTCGACGGCACGCGTTGCTGTTCTGCTGCATGCATGCGTTTTTCTTGTTGTTTGATCTTCACACATTTTCGCGCAAGCGGTTGCGCGCCGCTGGGACTCGGGGTTACTAAAATTAGTACAGAGCATCTCCCCCTTGGTCGATTTGGACAATCTATGGCTCAAAATTTTCAGGAGACCCTGGCAAAGAAATTTACCGAGACGTTTCTGGATATTCCTTTCGAATGCTGTACTATATCTCACGAAGTTTACGCATATGCTCTGGCATACCCGTGTGAGTAATGAAAATTTGTTTCGGTAAATCTTTTGGAACACCTGTCAACTGTGCCTGGGCCAAGTCTCAGCTTCGTAGAACCAGGCTGAAGTGCTGCTAACTCCTTCAAACACCCCCTACTTCGAGCAAAAATGCGACGAAATGCTGACTGCTGATTGGCCAAGCTGGCATTTTGGAGCACGTGCACCGCCCCCATCTAATCGACGCTTTTCTACGCAACTGTGAGCCCTGACTTTCGTGAGATCGGGTCATGACGTACGTGCACTTGGCCCGCGCAAACTACGAAAATGTGCAGAACGCAAAGTTCGTGCAAAAATTCGTACACACTTTCGCAAGGACTGTCGCGAAACTTCGTTCGAATTTTCGTTTTGCAGAACCTCTCTACTGAACGTTTCTTTAGCAACATGACGGCAACTGAAACAGCAACAGAGAAAGTACGATACATGCACAGCACATTCTTGCAGGTACTACAAACAGATTGCAGATCGTAATTCTTGCTTTGGCGGCACGAAACTTCATTTGGGGCAGTGCAATCTCGGCGGAACTCACAAATAATAAATCAAACAGCCCAGACTCGAGTAAACAAATCCAATCATACAAGTACGAGATCTTCACGAGACGAGACTGCACCCTTTGACTTGTTTCGTATGAAGCAAACAAGTTTACTGAACCTCTCCACAATGGAGATTTTCCCTGATATGCGAATTTATTTTGCAAACTCGGTCAATGCCCGGGGTCCTTGAACCTTTCCCTCCAGATTGGGAACAGCCAACGATAGTATGCCACTGACCAGTGCCTTACTTGTAACGTACCAATGTACAATGAATATGAGTATTTCGACAACACATCTAACATAAGCCTTCCCGTCAAGAAGGTGAACTCGCGTTCTTCGCACACTGTAGACAAGGCCAAAGAGATAAAAATGGATCTAAATCCGAATAAAATCAGCACACGTTTCCGTAAATGAAAGTGTGAGCATAAGCAAATGAATCAAAGGAAACCGGTCAACTCAGAGATCACCTGTCATCGAGTATTCCGTAAAAGGAGGCCTCGGCAGCGGAAAAGCTAAATTTAGAAAGAGATCCTGTCAGCTTTTCCATTATTTCTTGCATTCCGCCCAAAATGAGCACACTTTTCGTAAATGAAAGAGTCAACCCAAGCAAAAGAATCAAAGGGAACTGGTCAACTCACCTGTCATTGAGTAATATTCCGCGAAAGGAGGTCTCAGCAGCGCCGAAACGAAACAAGCCAGGCCAGGAGACGAAATATCCGAAACAGCTCATACAAGAAGCAGTTCCAAAGGAGGAAGTTCCTCGCGCATGCACATCCGAACACGCATCACAATGCACTGCATGCACTGCATCACAATGTCTGCCGTGCACGTGCACAGCACGCGGCTACCACCCGTTGGTAGGTCTAATACCGAGCACCTTACGTAGAGACTTACGTAGCCTAAATGAAATACCGAGCACCTTACGTAGAAACTTACGTAGCATAGCGATGTCGTTTTTCTTGCCATGTGAACACAATAATAGAAAAGCTGACAGGATCGCTTTTCTAAATGTTACTTCCGGACACAAGATCGACCCACGACTCTGGGGCACGAGTTCCGACTTTGTCCTTTCTTTTCTCCTCCTTTGGCCTTTGCAAATGTCTACAATTGTAATGATCACCCAGTCCAGCGTCTGATTTTGCGGATGGTCGCGTGGCCCAACGGATAAGGCGCCTGACTACGAATCAGGAGATTCCAGGTTCGAATCCTGGCGTGATCGAATTTTTTCTTTCCTCTACTTATTTTCTTCCCCTCTTCCAACTCTCGCATCTGCTTTGCATTTAATTTTTGCTTCTTTCAAACTATCAGTATCAAAGACCAAGAACTACAATAATAATAATAATATTATTATTATTATTATTATCAGAATACAATCACAGTCATCAGGTCATGTAGAAGGTCACGTCAAGGCAGCAGAGTCTGGTTCGACCATCATGCATCAGGCATCACTCACCGGCCGCGCACTGCGCGCAGCTAGCCTGACAGTGACAGAACCGTGAGTCGGATTTGATCGGGAAGATCGGCGGCTTTGAATGATTTTTGGCATAAAAAAATACGCAAGCGCAAAAGTCGACAATATGGCGCCAGAGAAATTTTGCAGAAAAGAACGATCGACTTTGCTTTTTTTCAGTTTCGTTTGCAAAAGATATCTCTGAAAAATGATTATGAGATTCGGAAAAGTACTTCGCAATTAGGACAATTGCTGAAGTAGTTAGTAAATGAGTGTTCGGAGGAGTTTTATGGCTCAGGTTTGGATTTGAAAGACTCTTGCGACTCTTTGAAGCAATGGTCAAGCTCACTGCTGATCTGGTGGCTTCGTCCGCACAGTTCGTGAATGCTCTCGGAGATCGTGAAATTGACCTGCGAGGTGCGCACTCTGAGAACGATGGGTAGGCCCCCATACATGTAGTCGATTTCTAAACTATTGTATTCGTGCTCATTTTCAGGCAACAAGATTCCCGTGATTGAGAATTTGGGAGCTACCTTGGTTAGTATTCAGCCATTTGTGTGTTTATAGTTTCAAAATGACGTTTCATGGTGACTTTTTCCCTTCTCATGTCCCTCAAACCTTTTGGACAGTGACTGTACACGAACTACCCAGGGCACTTCTCTTTCCATAAAGTATGTACATGTATAGTGGAGGATCACCCCAGCCCCAGTGGAGATCAGTGAGCAGTGCAGTGTTGTTACATTCTCTGCTCACGATCCTTTTTTTAGCCCCCCCCCCCTCCTAATTTTAAACAAAATTTAAAGTTGCACACCATTTAATACCAACACCCGTTTGCGATCCATTTGGATTAGGTCCAAAGGATCAAATGCTACTTCTTAGCACTGGCACGGAAATGGAGTATGCACCATATTGTCTGGTGATTGCATGGTGTGCTTGAAGCTCTGAACAAGACCAGCAAACTGTGATCGTGGGTCAGTGCGTGGCGTGCAGCGTTCGTTACATAAATTGCCTCCAACACGCTCTATTCTCATGCACTTAAAGTCCTGGTCTTGCTTGATTTGTTCGAATCACGACACGGTCCCTAGATCGTAGATGTCTGCCAACTTCAGTTTCGTCGGAAACTCTCTTTCAAACCACAGGAAAATGGGAGATTGTGATATTTGGCACGCATATACAGGTAGAGGCTTAACAGCTGCACAGTGCAATGAAGGCAGTGTGCCACGCAGCTGGCCCATAGAATAGAGGTCACAGTTACGTATTTCAGTACTATAGGGTATGGACTTTTGATCACTTTAGGCTCGGGGGGAATAGCTGACCTTTTCTACAATTATCACCAGGATTGCTACCAATACATGTACTGTGTAACACGTTATTTTCGGTGTTTAATTTTGGTGTTTGTAGAGAAACCAGGCACCTATATTTAGATTACACCTAAACGACAATCACGGATGTGAAGGGAATGCAGAATCACCTAATTCTACGTTACAATTGAAACCTGTCAGGTCCCTGTCACTGAAATTGTAACACACCTAAAGTTACATGTTAGGGGCCATCTGTAACTACTGATATTTTTTCGAGACGGTATTTGTTCATTTCTCCCCAGACCCCCCCCCCTCAAAACGAACGTACACAGGCTTATGCGGGGGGGGGGGGGGGGGGTCAGTTTATACATTGCCCGTCCACATCTAGAGGTCGATATTTTTTTAACAAAGTCGAGACGTACAGAGACCACCCCCCCCCCCCCCCCAAAAAAAAACGAACGAAAATCTTCTCTAAAAGATATTGATATATGTGGACAAGGAGAAGGAAAAAATGTTACGAGTTATGACTAGCTGTCCACCAACGTAACCAGATCTTATACAGTCAGCGAGTGCGACAAAATGGCACACAACTGACAAGGAGTACTGAGACATTCGGAGACCTGACACCTAGCTCCAACACTTCTCCAAGGCGCAAACCAACAACCTTCCAACTTGGAAGGCTCAAGTTCGGAAAGGTCCAAGAGGGGAAGGAAAGCGCAACGAACGTTGGTGGACAGTTAGTCATAACTTGTAACATTTTTTCCTTCTCCTTTTTCACCATAATTTAATTGGCTCACCATCCGAGTTGAATATTTGTGGACATACAGCATATTGTAGATTTTTTAAAGTGAGATTTGTTTTGCCTGTTCATACATCTGCAGGATCAGTTCGACACCTACGACCTGTCGGACAACGAGATTCGAAAAATAGATGGATTCCCACACTTACCTCGGCTGAAGTGCATCTTGCTAAATAACAACAGGATTCTGTAAGTAGCTTTCCCCACGCAGATGCAAAAATCATCTTTCGCAGAGACAAAACACGGCAAGCAGACTACAGGACCAAACTAGCTTCAGGCTTCCCACAAGCAACACTTCAAATAAATTGCCACCGATACTCACATAGTTTCATTGCCTTGTCGTCAGGTGGATACAAGCAGAAATGAAAGTATCCAGTAAAATAACTAGTATACAATGTGACGGTGATAAAAGCAGCGGTAAGAGCAATACGAAATGGTGGTAGCAACTTCAGCGATATTATAGAGCAAGAGCAAGAATAAATACATGGAAAGCGTTGATTCTCAAACGTAGAAATAGACACATTTTAGCAAGTCCTATACTTGTGCACATGTGGTGTGTGTAAAGACTTTGAGGAGGTCAGCGTAGATGTGATACAGTACTAGTATTGTGATAACAATAGACAACAAATGGACAGAACTAGCGATATGTTGGTGTCCTACCTATCAGTCGAAGCGTGAAAATGTTCTGTTTGCATAGGTTTAGTGTGTTTGGGCTTCTTTGTGTGAATAGATAGTTTCAAAGCACTCCACAGCTTAGCATTATGTTCACGTGACAAGATTAAGAAGCAATGATCTAGAAACACATTGCATCATTCACACCTACACTGACCTTTTCACATCTGCACTATTTGTGCATGATTATAGGTCTTGCTATTTGTCTATCTACTGTAAGTCAACAAATATTCGGCGCAAATTTATTTTCGGCTATTTTCGGCCGGGGCATTTTTGGCCGAAATTTTGCTTTGCAATACAGGCCGAAATGTGTTTTAGCTAGGCCTGGGAGGCCGAAATTTGAATGGGCTGAAAATTTGTAGACTTACAGTACCGGTATGTTTGAAAATCAACATTTTTCATGTGTTTTGTGTGTTTGTTCTTGCTATGCCTCTTACTGCTGCTTTTATCACCATTACATTGTATGTTCGTTATTGTACCGGTCAGTTGCTATTCTGCCTGTACTCACCTGACAAGACAGCAATGAAAGTACTCGTGGAAATGTGTGAAACTGTTGCTTGTGAGACGCCTGAAGCTAGTTCTGTTCTTCAGTCTGATGTCCAGTCAATTCTTGTACACAAGGAATTATTAGTACAGATGTTGGAACTTTGTATGCGGACTCCTTGGTTGGGTCGGGTTTGTACTATCATCGAAAACCGGGCTCTGCCTCCTCGTTTCGAAGATTCTTGGCGTGTTTTCTCGGAGCTTGTTTGTGCCCCGGTGTTGCCTCTTGTGCTATGAGTAAGTAGGAGTCTTGTACTTGTTCTGTGATTTGTCGGTGATGTGTATTCGTATTTGCGATTTGTGTCATTGTGTTTTCTGTGCTGTTTCCTTTTTCTTTTTTTCATCTAGTCGTATTGCGTCCAACCTTGAACACCACCTGCCGCATCTTGAGACGCTAATATTGACGAATAACAACCTTCAAGAACTTGTGAGTTATTTACAGCATGTTTGTGTGTGGGTGCGGGTGTTACAGACCAGACAGGGTACGGGTGTAGAACGATGTTTAGGAATGGCCCACACTCTTCATTCTTCCCGTGCATGATATATCCTATTGCGCGAGGCATGTATATTATACCTGACTGCTGATCGAGGCATATTATGTGCTTACACGGTGTTTTGTTTGTATGCGTGTTTGCTGCTTCAGACTGACCTTGATCCTTTGCAGACAATCAAAACATTAACAACACTATGGTAAGAGTGCATGTGCATGACTGTACATGTATGTGTGACGCTGTAGTAGTGGGGTAGTGGGGCTACTTGCAGCGGCACTATTATCCTTTGGGCGGTGCAGTGCTCGTGTACAAATACTTGTACATACACACAGGTAGTCTTACATAACAAGTTGAAGCTCAGTTGGAGCAGACTTCCCCTGTGCCCTTTGAGTGCGACATAATATGTTTCAGTTAGCTGGTTCACTGTCTCATCCCGACATGTTCTTGTGCACCTTCATTCAATATTATGGATACTCAATCTGCGGACAGCGTCCTTTGTGGGCTCATATTATGGATAGATCGTTTGTAACGGCCCGACTGTGGCTTTCCTTATCTGCAGTTTACTCAAGAACCCCGTAGCAGCAAATAGCAGCTACCGCCAGTACGTCATCAGCCGTCTTCCTCAGCTTCGAGTATTGGACTTCAGAAAGATCAAAGAGAAGGTACGTCATCTTGTTCTTACGATTGGTGTTTAGTACGAAACGAACGTAAGTTACAGAATGTGCATGTCTATCTGCAAGGTGCAAGCTTGTTCCATGTTGGCAGGTAACCTCATTCCATGTACTACCTGTTGTATGCCGTAATTGGTACAGCAGAACGCCAATTATCCAGACGTCAACTATTCGGTTGATCGATTATCCGGTTCGCCTGGACAATACAAAAAAAGCAGCTTTTTCGAGGGTTTTGCTGATTTTCTCCACTCTGAGCACCATTCAAGCGTTGCACAAGATATCACAACAGGTTGGAGTCAAAATGTATAACGATAAGTGTCGTTTTGAGGGGCTGGAGTGCGCCTAGTTCCTGTTGTACTGCCGAAAAGAATGAAAAATGAAACATGCGGGAATATCCATGTTTTAGATTGATGTGTGACTGCTCCCTTATCCGAACGTTCTTCTCATCCGAATCTCCTCGAGACAGCCTGTTCCCCGAGGGGTGCGTATTATCGGCTCTCGACTGTAATGTGTAAGGGATTTATGGTGTGCTCGCGTACATTTTAGGGTTGCAACGTGCCATAGATTCCTGGTAAGGCCCGGGCAGTGTGGGTCTACTGGCAATAGCTTTTGCATGGAATCTACTGGTTCTTTTGTTCTGTACATTTCCATCTGTGCTCTCTTTTTGTCACTTCTACTGTTTGGTTACATAATATGCAGCTCAGAATGTCACTATGATCATGTGGTCTTGGACCTTGATTTCTGGATCTCTTTGGGTTTCTTTAGGAAAGAGAAGAGGCACAAAAGATGTTTGGAGACTCGCACGCAGCGTCTACAAGCAACACGTAAGTAATCTGTTCGTAGACAACATGTGGAATGCACAGATACCCAGAAGTGTTCTCATTCCCTGCCCTCATTCTCATAATGTAGAGCTGTGTTCTAAGTCGATATAATTATGTCCGAGGGGCAAATTACAGCCCAATCAGTGTCGTAAACACTTCGGCATTCGGCGGATAAGGAGACTACTTTACAAGTTGGATTCATTGGCCGAAAGCTGCCGTCCATGTCCTGACAGATGTGTTGATCAGCTTGTGGTCACTCACGATGTGTGCGTGTTTTTCACCTCAGGTTTGAGCCTGGTGAGAATCTACCAGCAAGAGCGCTTGACCAGGCACCCGCACCAGCTGTACCCCCTCCACCGAACAAAGATGTTCAAGCCATTCGGGTAGGTGCCGAGTAACTTCGATTGGTAACTGTGTGCGTGTGTGTCTGTTCATGTGTGTCTGTGCATGTGTGTCTGTGCATGTGTGTCTGTACATCATGTGTGTGTGTGTGTGTGTGTGTGTGTGTGTGTGTGGTGCATGTGTGTGTGTGTGTGTGTGTGTGTGTGTGTGTGGTGCATGTGTGTGTGTGTGTGTGTGTGTGTGTGCATGTGTCGTATCCCGGCGGCCCGTCTGTTAGGCCCCAGAGCCGTGGTTGACATGATTAACCTAAAACTTCTACGTTAACGTTACAAGGCCGGGCAGTGGTGGCCGTAACTATAATCACATTAGACGTTTGGACACCACATATACTCGCGATTCAGACATATTTAGACATGCTCGGACTACACTACACACGGTTACCCTCGCGCGCGCACGCACATATCCCTGTCCTCGAGACTGTTAGCCAGTTAGTTGTAGAACGTCAGTACCGTCGGTCGGTGTCGTGCAATGTTATTGCATGAGCTGATTGTTTAGTAACTGGTGGTGTTAGTGGACATTAGAGAGGTTCCGGAGTACGATTTTTTTTCGTGCCAAAATCCGTAGAGGCGCTACGGATTTTATACGTCGTTTTCGAGCAGTGAAATGTTCCGGAGTACGGAACTTATGTGTTTGCCGTCATTGCCTAGGTTCCGATCGCAAACACGTCACATTCCCACGCTCTGCCTTTTTATTTTGAAAATTTGTACCGAAATCGATGTTTCTCGTACCAAATTTGCACGCGAAAAATCTTTCTGCACCCGATGACTCAAAATCTCCATACGATCTAGATGTACGAAACATGGTTCGTATGAAAGCCAGTCCACACGGATTCTCCGTGCCGAAAAATCGTATGCAGCACGCCTCGAAAATCCGTAGCACCCATACGGATTTTGGCACGGAAAATCGTACCCCGGAACCTCTCTAATATAGCGTAACGTCAAGAGTGCATAAACAAGAGTATGCAACTGTGGTGATGGGTCAGTGCGCGGCGCGCTGCCTTCATTACGTAACTTGCCTTCATCATGCTCTGAAAGCATGCATTCAAACTAGGGGTGAAACAAAGGTGTCGAAGGTTCGAAGAACCTTCGTTTTCATTTGAAACAAACCTTCGTTTTCACTTCAAAAGAAGGTCAACACACGATTTCTGTACATATATGCACTGATCTTCCTTGTATACAGGAGGTACTGTACTGTAGTTTGTACAGTCGACTAGTTTTGTGTCCACTTGGCTCCCGGTAGGTGCCACTGCAAGTCCATAGTAGGCCACAGACTGCGCTTGAGCGTGGCCATTCACGGCCAAGGTGTGCAGAAGTAGTCTTGGGCAGTTTAGGGTGCAAACTGCGCAGTGCAAAAGCTATGGGCGTGCCAATTGTGGTGACTGCACAGCAAACATGTGCACAGTCATGTACTTGTAGGGCACATGCACAGAGCGTGCTTCAAGAGGAACTGTGAACTGGTAAAAGAATCCTTCGACACCTTCGTTCGTTTTCATGAAGGTTTGTTTGGCAAATTGAGACCTTCGTTTCACCCCTAATTCAAACTCATAATTTCTCGTACGAGCCCATCCGTTTTTGCTCGATTCGTTCCAGTACCTACGCGATCTCTAAATTCTGGCGCGTGAACTCCAGTTCTGTACGAAAGTTCATTTCAAACCAGAGGGAAAGTGCGGTGTTTGATTTTCCGCAGTGCGCGGACTGCAGCTGCATGATGTAATGAAGGCAGCGCGCCGCGCATCTGGCCCATAGAAAAGAGATCACAGTTGCATACTCTTGTTTATGGACTCTTGGTATTAACGTGTAGTTCCTAGATCCTGGGTCCTTTTTATTTATTTTTATAAATCTATTTTAATATTACTGTAAATCAACAAATTTTCGCCAGTAAAAAACTTTCGCCGATCTCCAAAAAAACACTTTTCGCCGCCACTAAAATTTGAGTGCATGGCGTGATGTAGACCAGTTCATCTCACCCTGCACTGGTCCAGGATCACAATTGCTATTTTGTATATGTTGCTGATGTTCTGCCAACTTCAACTTGTCCGTTCTTGTTTCTTTCAGGCTGCCATTGCTCAGGCGACATCACTTGATGAAATGCAGCGCTTAGAAGCTTTGCTCAAGTCTGGTGGCGTGCCGGGCAAAGGCACTACGCAAAGATCGGGACGTGGACAGGCCGAAGAGGAGGAAGATGAAGACATGGACACGAATGCGCATAATGGAGTATCATGATGTTCTTGTCCACTTCCGTGACTCGATGTGTGTGTGTGTGTGTGTGTGTGTGTGTGTGATGTGTGTGCGTGTGGCAGTGTGCTGTTGACTTTTCTTCAAGCCGCATACTGACGTGTATGTGCTTTTCCATTTACGTGTTTTATTCTCTCCGTGCTGTCAAGTTTCTTTGTCAATTCTGTTAACTTGCACGACCCACCCTGGCTACTACTGATCATTCGGAGAAGCAGTCCACACTCTGGTTTTAATGCATTTTTCATCGCCCTATGAAATAGATAAATTAGTACAAAATTTCCATGACATGAGTCTATGCTGTAGCTCAAATAGGCGCTATTGATGCATCGCCTCAGTTTTGACATATGTACAATAATTTGATGTTTGTATTATTCAAGTTAGGTTTCAGACTCAAGCTTTAAAAAAAGAAGAAAAACAATAATAAATGAGCAGAGTCTGGGTGCTACATCATGTGGTCTGAAAAGATATAAGTATCTTTAAAAAAAGGTCTATGTGCAATTGTAATAATGAAGTAAGGGATCGAATGCCAGGCAGGCAGCAGGCATGATGCGTGTACTATAAGAACTCCAGTCCCTCGAATCTGAAAGCAACACAGAAACAATCATAATCAGGGTACTAGTAACTGCCTTGCAATGCCCCCACATCGTGATCCCTACATTTGTACAAAACTACGCACAACGCTTTTTCGATGCGAGTCGGGAAATGGCTTGGACTGAGGCTGCGTTCTTAACTTATTGCAAGTATGCACATTAGTAATTGCACATTGTACAGAAGCACAAGATCCCTGATGAGCAACCAGGCACTCGGTATCACTCCGTGGTGATGGAGCGAAGACAGCACTGGTCTTCCTTTGAATATTGGACACGGACTGGACAAGCGTGCAGGGATATAGTAGACAACGAACACCAAACTCTCCCCCCCCCCCCCCCCCCCCCCTTGGCGTACGGGTCGTGTATGGCTAACCCCGTACCCGTATAGCGGTGGGGAAAGCCATCATTATTAATCAGCTCCAGTTCCTAGCTTCGAAGTACTGTACCGGCGGTACATGTGTACGTTTGTCTTGGAGACTTTCGGATAGTGCTGTACGTGGTGCGTCGTGCACAGGCATTGCTTTTCAGCCTCCCGCAGTATGCATGAAACCAATGCTCCTGAACCGTACGGAAACTCAACTCCACACTGGCAGTTTGCTTGATCGGCATTTCACTGCGTGCTGAAGGCAGCACGCCAACGAAGAGCACCCATGGCTCGGAGATCAGAGTTACTGTAAGACATGTTATTATAACGAGTCGCAAATTTAACGATTGTCCAAAATTCATAGGTTAACGAGAAGATATGTTAACGATCTTGCAGTATTCTGCCATATCCACACACAGCATATATGAAGCAGTACGGCCTCAACGGATCTTATTATAACGAAGAAATGTCATCCGTTAAAACGTTAGATTTGCTTTCTCGTTATATATACATGTCTTACAGTACACACGGTTGGGGCTATGGACTCTTTCGGTAGAATCGACTACAACACGAGAAATGACAGAATTCTGGAAATGCGCTGTGGCAGCCACCCATCGGCAGTTGCACACGCTGGAAGTTACGCACTATTGATAACAGTCACAGAACGTCACCAGAATTGCAGTGTCCATAGAGCCTGATCAGAGAATCAGCACTTACTTTGCTTCGGCAAACTTTTTCTCGGGCATAAGTTTCCTGCCATTGATGTTGAATGCAACGATATCTGGTGCCAAGGAACGTCAAGGAAACACCTGCAAACTACAAGACATGTGCAATGTACAATACTTTGAAAATAGTCACTATCTCATGCTCCATGCACAGCTACCCTTGCTTACAGCTCATGTGTACCCCAGGCAGAGAACAATACCCATACAAAGCCCCCCCCCCCCCCCGGAAAGACAGCAAAAGTTGAAGTTCACTTTCAACACGAATACAATACACACAATGCACTTGGCTGAAAGGATACAGGAAGCTAGAGTTTCACCAAATTCCTCCGATTTCAGAGCAACAATGACTTCATCGTGGGTCCCGGGTACAAACTTGAAGGAGGAGAAGCCATGCGTTGGGTTGAGGTCACCAAGATGGCTGACCTGGATATCGGTGAAGTCATCCCGACACGAGATCATCAAATTGGTGCCCCGACGCTCATCCTCTTTTTCATTATACCTGTAAGCATAAAGCATAACATACAAACACCCACGCACCCACACACACACGTGCATTGGCTATACCCTAAAATATCTTCACGTTCACTTAGAAATACTACAAGTAGCAACATACATGGAGACGATATTAGGTAGGAAGCATGATCAGTTCAGGTTCTATTGTGTACTAAATTAATGGTTTTAACTAGCTTCTCAAACATTGTGCATGGCTTCATTGAGTAATTTTTCTCATGGAAAAGGCCCTGAGCAACACAGAGAGGGTATTAGGAAGGAAAATCAGTGATGTACCTCATCAACAAACAAACTCAAGAGCAAATTGGCGGCTAGCAATGGACACAGTATGTCAGTAAGTGATAGCTCAGCACAAGACACGACTGGTCAGAAGGGGATATGATCTGCAGGGTCTTACGGATAGGCAACTCGTACCTTTCATTGCTGGATCTCCTGGGCAAGAAGTACCAGCGGCGGTGAATCTTACTCCACACTGCAGACTCATGGATGATATAGCTGCAATGCACACAACAATGCACACAGCACAGGCATTCCAATACGCTCCTGTTGCGAACTACCCATGGGACACAGGTCAGTATAGCTGGCCATAAAACATCACTACCTCGAGGTGCCATGGCAACTCTACACCGTATCTCTGGAGAATGTTCGCACAGGCACCAAACCATGCTTGCATCAATACATGTGGACACCACCCGAACGTGTGCAAAACAACCGCCTGTTCTTAATGATGACCGGTGAAACCTGGCTTGAGCATCTAACACAGTCTGGTGGTGCTACAATGTAAAAAGAGCAATCCCTCACCCCGGCCAGCGGATACCAGCTGCAGCTTGAAGTGCCTCGTAGCGCAACGTCCAGTTTTCATGGCGAACTGCACCATTCGGGGAGATAATCTTCACCCACTTAGGATTCTTGTTGAGTAGCACCTGATACACAAGAACAAGCAAATGCAGATTACGCATCCTACACGTGTGCACTTTGAGAGCATCAATTCAAAGTTCTGACATAATCCCACCAAATCAGAGACAGGATATCTAGTACCTACTGTATTTTACCAGTTATAAGTCGACCCTCCTCAAACGTGGGAACTCGGTTTCTCAGTTTTACGGGGATAAAAAAAATTGAAGTTTGGTTATACATGTACTTCAAGTAAGTAAAAGAAGGTCGACTTATACCTGGTAAATTACCGTATTCTTATGTCTTTCCCCATTCGTACACGTGCGCTGTTTTGATACCCACTACATAACACCAGAGCGCATGAAGGCAACAACTTGAACAAGGACTTCAATGCAAAGAAAGAACAAGACGACCATCATAGTACATGTAACTTAGTCAGTAGCATGCCACTATAACAGCGACGTTTTCAGCCAACAGGCGACCAACATTGCAGACAGCGGCAACAGCAGAGGTAACTACTGACCCCGTCACCAGTGGTCCAGTCCTTTCCCAGGCCACCCACGTACAGGTCACCGTCCTTCACTGCCATCCACTCGGCCTTAAACGCTTCCGGCAAGTGACCATTGCCATTGCGCAAGATCACCCAGGGAACCAGATTGTGTTGACTGTCAATCTCATACACTGAACATAACACACAAAAAGCAATGACAAAATCTACTAATGCATTGTGGTAGCATTCTGAAAGGTATCAGTTCTCAAGAAGGACTAAAAAGGTGTCTCCAAAGTCATACGTCGACCCTGCGCGCGCGCGTGTGCGCGTCTGTGTTCGCGCATCTGAAATATACATTATTCATACGTTTTATACCATAAAGTCTCGTATAACAGCCGACCTTGGATAGAAACTTCACTTTGGATGGCACATAACTTAAGCCACCTTTGAATACGAGTTGAAGCTGCAGCTTCAACATGAGAGACTACACTGCCAAGGTAGCACGAAAGTCATGATCATGGACTCTCACATGTGCACAAGTCAAAACTGCAAGCGAACTAGTGACTCATACTGCACGGGCTGCTGAGCTCGAACGGGAACTAACGCAGTGACTTACTGGTGAAGCAGTGGCGATGCATGTACTTTACCATTCAGCACACCAGTAGTCTCACATAGCTGCACAAGCATGCCTTACCGTAAGCAACGCATACAATGTATAAGAAGGCATGTCACACCGTGTCATGGGTATGACAAAGAGCAGAAAAGCAGCTGCTTCTATACCAGACTTTTTAAAGGCATTCAAAGTGACAGCAACCAACAGAGAAAAAGACGTACCAATGCCGGTGCGGTCATCAACAGTATAGAGACGATGATTGAACAGGACCAGCTCGGAGAGCTCAATGGCACGGCCCTTTTCAGATATGTGTCCCACCAGTCGCTCCTGTATCATGATTATACCACCAACAAACAAACAGAGAGCACCCAAACGACTACTGAGTGACGTGCGGCAAGTAAAGAGAGCTGCCGCTTACAAACTTCAACGTCCTCCACAGTAGCAATCAAGAATAGGAGAGTGATCAGTCTTACTTCTTACCACTTGGAGCAGTAAGAGCAGCCAAAAACACAAAAATGAAGAACACTGCAGAGTAAAGGACCTTCTCCCCGACAAGAAACAGGAGAGCAGAAGTCATTCTAAGACATAAGTCTACAAAGCAGTGCGTAGCTTACCGCTTGATCTTCGAACTCCACGATCACCTTTCCTGTGTTGAGCAGTGTCAGCTGACCAAGTTTCAAATAGCTAACCCAGGAGTTCTTGTCGCCATCCACCTACATGTACATACAGCAAGACACGCACAGGTACGTGTAAGGCCTAAGGGCATTCGTGTACTTGCACCCTACACAGGACTGTATACAGAAACGAAAGAGACATGGGTCAAATGATCTTTCTTGCCCGGCTAAACAAGACAATGTCCGCAGATGCCAGTGCAGAGCTACCAGTTACCTTGGATCGCTGGTCCAAGTCGGAAACAGTTGCAATGCGAAACGTGACTCCGTCACTGGTTCCTGGTCAGAAGAAAGCAACAGGACAAAGTAGGCTATCCATGATGTAGCTGTAAAGCTAGAGAAATTTGTATTGCAGTGCGCTGCCCCAATGACCAAAGGTTGGGCATGTAAATCTAGATTGCAATCAGCTTTCCCGCAGTGTAAATAGACAGATAGATAGATAGAGATAGATAGAGAGACAGACAGACAGACAGAGACAGAGAGAGAGACAGAGACAGAGAGAGACAGAGAGAGACAGAGAGAGAGACAGAGAGACAGAGAGAGAGAGAGAGAGAGAGAGAGAGAGAGAGAGAGAGAGAGAGAGAGAGAGAGAGAGAAAGAGAGAGAGAGAGAGAGACGGAGAGACAGGCAGAGACAGCGGAGAGAGAATGAGTGAGGAGATCTGCTAAAACGCAATACAACCTCCAAAGATGCTACCATCTACGACAGGCACCTCTACACTCAGGACAATGTTTCCCAGTCCCATATTTCAACATACTGCTTTTGTCACCGGTCATGTGAACGCATTCCTGCAATCAGGATGTTTCCATTCACCAGAAAAATGCATCTGGTCGCTGGAATGTCTGTACAAGGGAGGTTCTAGTCCATCACACTCTATATTAGCTATGTCAGCAAAACATGGTTACGGACACCTGAGCAGCACAGCCAGACTTACGTTTTCCGGACACCAGTGGGTAGTTTGGATGACCTAACAGTTCACAAAGTGCAATGAGCAGCCAACACCACAACACAGACATAGCGACTAAGTACGCGTGAAGCTACGTACCTGAAGTAAATCCAGATGAACAAACCCCTCACAATACTCCAGTCGTGGCCAAAGAAATCCGAACTGCGGGTCAAAAGTAGCGCCGCTTTGCCATTTCCAATACCGAGAGTACATAACCCCCCAGAGTGTGCAACTCCCACATATCCTTTTGTCCCGACAGAATTTAAAGTTTACGTCATTATTTATGACGCAATGCTCCTTGCAGCAGTGATTTACAACATGTGTACGGGTGTCAACGCATCACACGTTTTTCTTTGCAATAATTTGTACAGGATCGATCGGCTTCGGTCAACCACAGGTTCCGGATTCTTCTGATAATCCGTGTACAGTGTGCATTGCATCATCAAAATGACGTCAACTTGAAATTCTGTCGGGACAGCACCCATAGTGGAGTTGCACACTCTTGCCAATACATAATGCATGTTCCAAAAATCGATCCAAGGGCCGCAGGGACCGCATGAGCCTTGGTGCTGCTTGTGGCACGTGGGTCGGATTTCTTTTGTCACGAGTGTACAACACACTGCCTTGCCCAATTGAACTTCCTGCCCATATGTTACACCGATGCGATGCAACATTTTGCAGAAAAAACTTCGATCGCATCGCTTGCCGCGTCGCAGAAGTGATATTGTGCATCTCGCTTCGGGGGAGTTTAGGCTCTTCTCTTTCCAACGCTAGTAAACCATTCACCACACACATATCGGTGGTGGCACAGATCCATTTGCCGAGTGGGGCCATGACACTGTACATAAGCCTTTTTTTTGTGCAATATAGTACTGTCGGGTACCGAAGAACGAACAGGCTAGGATTTCACCAAGCACAGCATACCGATACCGTATACATGGTGACTTGACTGTGCATTGCCTTTAGTATTTGAAAACAAGAACGGCCTAGGCTACGAGGCTGACCCGCAGTTCTTCGGCGCCCACCGGTACTGTAGTGGCCACACTGATCTCTAATTAGCCGCATGGCCATGCCTGTGGTGTTTGCATCGGCCGGCCACATAGCACTATGTGATTTTCGCACTTGTCCGTTCGTACAAGCATGCCATGCGACAACAAATTCATAGCTGCATAGAGGTTTGGGTGCATAAAGCTATCACGTGTCATACAACAATGTCAAAATCATCTACTACAGTATGTGGCCTCATTAGGGTGTAGCGTGTTCGTTTGGGAATACATATTATAATATCCCCAAAAGTATAACAAGAGCACACATAGCATGCACGCAACAGCCGTACCATCTGAAGGTGCTGTTCGTTGATGGTCGGGCAAGATCAAATAGACCAGTGTTACAGCCATCATCAGAAAGAGAGCGCCGCCAATCTTCGGCGGTATGCGCTGATAACCACCATTTGGACGAACAACAGGCTTTATTGCAGCCCAAGAATCCCTCATCGTCGCGTCCCCACTCCCTGGTCGTATGTTTAACGAAGCCAGGATACCTTTCTGGACCAGAACAGTCTACAGGTCTGACCCAGTCAGGGCCAGTGGTCATGCACTGGTTTCAATTCAATTTGAATTCAATGATACAAGAAACTCATATCATTGAAACATGACAGATGCCACGTTAACAAAATTACTAGTGTTTTAGACTACGAATTGATCCATGCACACTGCATGCTCTGGAGCCTTTCCGAGCTGAAAAGTAAAATAATTGGTGTCGTGATGATGATTACAAAATACAATGGCTAAACATTGAAATCAAACAAGAAAAACTAAACTAATGAAGACAAAGGACAAGTCGAAATCGATCGAGTCGATTTGGAGTCAAATCGATCAAGACGACTGTGCATAATTATGTGTAGTCTACGTGTGTGAGTTCGAGTGTGCAGGTGCGATGTATCACTACACTATCAGCATCTGATCTGAGTGTCAGTCTGCAAGATCAAGACCATGAAGACTGCGCATGCATGCATGGCCAGGTACTAGGTCAGTGCCACGAGGTCGTAGTCATGGCAGTCCCTCCCTCCATTCATGCATCCACGTACGTGGAGGCGCGGTCGGTGTATGAAGTCATTACTAATATCCTCGTATGCAAAAAATACTAACTCCCTGGATCCATGGACATAGCCTACAATTGTAGGTATGCATCATGCATGCTCCATGGATCCATACTTGTATTGTTGTAAGGACCATAGCTCTTTGACAATGCACAGTCAGTAGATACTAGTAAGTCACTACAATAAGTGGATGGCGGAAACCAGAAAATCAGACTGAGCATTGCAATGACTACAAAACTAACTAAAACAGTCACCACACCTGATCACTTACATACTGGCAACCGACAGACTCAGTAGATCTACATGTAACACCACGCCTTGCAAAGACAAGCAAGCTTTTCATCAGGCATAGACTGTTGAGCAGTGTCTTGCGTGCAGTGCACTGAAGTGCAGGACAGACGCAAGCAAGTACAATGTACAGTGCTGCTCAATGAAATCCAGTAACGTCACTCAAGTTTGCGCCTTCCACAATTTCGGAGCCCAGTGTTCGCAGGTCTGGGGCTGCGCAACGCCCGGCGCGTACTTGAATGACACGACTGGATTTCATTGAGCAGCACTGTAGTTTCCCCGACCATAGACTTGAGTTCACAGCAGCACATAATTGATTGGCTTCACCTGCACACCACACGCACATACAGGGCAGTACCTTTGCCCAAAATTAATATCAACAAAGACAACACTGCGCTGACACTGCACTATAGCACTGACATAATTATTATCTTAAAAATTCAACAAATTTGTTCATTAGAATCAACCAATGGCAAAGCATTGCGAGCATGCCTAACATCAACCATGCTCGGCCCATAACAAAAAAATAAGCAAAAGATATTAATTTGATGTGTTCAATGTGTATAAGAGGTTCTATTCAATGATGACTACATTGTCCACGCTATAAAGATAATATTGAAAAAGACTGATGAGTAGTTGGGGAAATGATTTTTCATGAACCTCTGACTTTTAAAAACAGCACTTTAAGATAATGGTACTTGTGTGGAACTTTGAAAGATTTGTTTTATGAACTACTTCAAAGTAGAATATGAAGGATTTACGATAAATTGACAGACAACACAGACAACCGCACACATGTACACAAACACACACACACACACACACGCACGCACACACACACATGCACATACACACACACACACCCACACACACACACACACACACCACACCACACACACACACACACACACACACACACACACACACACACACACACACACACACACACACACACACACACACACACACCACACGCACACACTGACAGTTCTAGTCTTGGATCTTGAGGATGTTCCGCTGCTCGAGATTGTCCATTTCCCGTAGCACGTAGGCCACATTGTAGCGTAGCTCGTGGAACTTGGACACAGGCACCTCAAATGTCTTCACACTGCCATCACTGAGCGTCATCTCTGCCAGAATGCTTGGTTCCATGATACGATTTAGTGCACTAAAGGAAAAAAAAGAACAAGAATTAGTACACAAGCGAGCACCAATTTTGTCAGAAAAGACGCCACCATAGGATAAGTGATGATCTGACATCTCAGGCCCGACACATAGATATGTCAGTGTACACACAACGTTTGCCCAATATAAATAGGTGAAGAGATCGCTGACTTTCTCACCTGGTAGATATTGACACATCCACGCGCCATCGGAGCGATCGTAAATGCGGAAGTCGAACGCGAGAAGCCACTGCACTCTCGTTGATGGCTTCTTGTCTAATAGAAGCAATAAAACAAAAGAGTATGCATGGCATGGTGGATACTGCAATTCCTAATTTCCAGCAGGTGTTCTCACTTCCGCAACTCACCTCATGTACTAATACTGAATGAATGAGTGAACCATAGCCCTCATGAAGTATCATGACAATACAATGTTCAAAGTTTCAGGAAACTAGTATCACACCCCCTGGCCATACAGCACACAGCTCACACACTGTATGAGTGTGTGCTGTACAGTAGAAGCTACAGCGATGTGCTCAGGCGTGTTATACTGGCTAGCAGTCTGAATTCCAAGTGCTGTTACTGCCAGCCAGTATACGCGGGTAGCAACTGCGATCGGTGCTTTCACGCATCATCAGAATAGTCTCCCACAGTGTGCGTGGTGCCGTAGTACGTACCTTGAGCCAAACGCTGCCTTGGCCAAGTCTGTGCATAGCTCTGGGAGCAGCCTGTACACATGATGGACACAATCAGCAACACAATCAGCAACACAATCAGCAACACACAGCATGGCTCAGAACCTATCCTACTACAGTGTACTGTAAATATACAAAATTTCGGCATTTCACGATTTTTGACATTTCGGCGGCCATTTATTTTCGGCGTGGGGTAGAGGGCATGGTATAGTGCGACAGATGCTGTGAAAAATTTCATCGGCATTTTAATTTAGGCGTATTGGGTCGGTGCCGAATATAGCCGAAATTAAATAGCTGCCGAAAATTTGTATATTTACAGTATACGGCATCTCCTGATACATATCTGAGATTTCATCTGCTATGCATGCACCTGCTGTTGGAATGCACGTGTAAAGCGAGTCTTCCGTGGACTGTAAATAAGTCAGCATGGGGCATTGCTTGATTTTGAAAGAAAAAGAAGAGATGCCCACTATAACATTGCTGACACTAGAGGCATTAGGAACTCGGGCAAGATTCACATGCCAATGTCTTGATCAGCAAACTTACTTCAATTCAAGCAGATCAGCTTTGAATCCCTGAAGCACACCGAATAAGCAGGACAACAAGAAAATAGCGGAACAATCATCATGGCTGGAATAGAACAACAGGACGCAGTCACACGGGCAAAGCAGCCAGAAAACCATCTGTATCCTATAGGAACCCGCAGTAAGCTCATCTCATGGATGCGTGAAGTACAATTCCACAGATCAGCAATATCACTATCATGGATAAACATCATTCTGTTCCAGTGCCCCATGATCAGACTTACATCAGACTTGAGTGATGATGGCGCCCGGACTGCCAGCCTCAGGGCTGTAAGGATCCCAGCGAACACACAGCGGAGTGTTTCCAATGCAACCGCACCACTAGATATAGATAGGAACTCTTCCTCGGCGACTTCACCGCTTTCCAGATGCTTCACAGCAACTGCAGAAGAAAAAAAAAGCACATACCGATGACTATCCAACAATACAGTGAATGCACACTCACAGTGCAAATACTGGTACACTGTGCACAAGTATTCCAAATACACAGGGCGTGGCCATTGGAATTCTGTGTGTGTGTGTGTGTGTGGATATGAATAACGCAGAGTGGATTACTCAAACAAGATCTATGCAGTTCAGTGTTGGAACATTAACATCCATAGCCCGCCTAACTCCTGCGTAATCGCACTGGTCTGTGTGTGCATTGCACATGTGGGCCAGCTGTGATTATTCTGGCTGTGTCGGCATGTAAAACGTCCGCACATTTCCCAGTGTTCAATCCGCGCAATGTCTGCCATGGGGTCTGGAATGTCCTGGCTTCGCCGTCAGTCACTAGTATCCGGTTTCATCCCAAATCCCCTTGCTTAGCTTAGCGCTTGAAAGCATTTCCGATTCGGCTGTCCACGCAGCCTTTTGCATCCATTCACTGTGGATGGGCGGATGGCATTCGCACGTAAGCCAAGCCTTCTGCAAGCCGATCGATCGTACACGTACTTAGTAATACCAAGCCGGCCCATTAACGGCTTTAGTCACTCTCAACCCTTAGCATCCAGCACTGTCATGCTATCGTGAATGTCACGTGAGCATAGCTTACAGGGAATACTCAGTATGGCTCATATTTTTCTTCTTCTTTCTCTTTCTCCCTTTCTTTGTTTCACTTTACTGAGAACCGACTTCGCATTTCACCCGTGACATGAAAACTTCGAAAAGCCAGCTGTTCTCAACGAGAATTTTGGGGGGGGGGGGAGGGAGAGAGAGAGAGAGAGAGAGAGAGAGAGGGGGGGGGGGGGGGGGGGGGGAGTTGTGAGCAATGTGTAAATGGCTGCGTTGGAATCCACTGACGATTTAAAAAAGGATGTTTTTAATACCAAGGCTCAGCGAGGCCGAGACGAACAGATAGTGGGCATGAAAGGAATTCTCAATATTAGAACTAGTCTTAGAGCCTCTCTTACTCTGCAGAAGCTGCCGGAATACAGCCTTGTCCAAATTATTGGCAGGCTTGATCATTTTCTTCAGGTCCTCAGGAATTCTCATTCCGTAGAAAGGAGTCCTGTCAGCTCGTGGCCCACCCGATTGGGTTTGGGACATGACTTGGACCATCGACATGGTTCTGCTCTCTGGTGCTCCAGGGGACAGGCCAGGGAATGGGGTCTTCCTGATCACACAGATTCTCTTTCCAGATTTCTGATGCTGAAGGAAGAAACGCAAAATTCGAAACGACTTATTTTTTCATGTTTGGATATCGATCGAACTCCTCCGAAAATGTCACCCGATTGTGGGTAAACGTTTAGCCGCTTTTGGTAAACCCCCTGGTTAGCAGGTAGTTTTCCGAAATAGAGACCACAATTCATGCACATCACATTAGATTTATGCATGAAAACGTACCTGGTCTCCATTCCTTTTTCGGTGTTCTACGCGAGAACACACCACGATGACCAAATCGTACAAAATTTAAATTGCCACTGGGCAAGTAGCAGCTAGGTATACACTGCATTCGGTTTGCTCCACTTCTCCCAAACTCGAACTCAGCATGTCACTCAACGTTATTTGAATTCCCTTTAACTCAACTAATGGCGGCTGCTAATGCTTCCTAGTCAATAGGTTTGCGATAGTCACAACAACAGAGAATATGGACGAAGGACGCAACGTGAATTTCGAGGAATTTTCAATAGAGGAATTGGAAAGGTGGGTACTCATTTGAATTCAGGTCTAACAATACATGAAAGAACTGCTATACAAAAGGGGCGTTACTTGACCATTCCACAGGGAGACAGAACTGATAACAAATAAATTAACGCTTTTGACCATACTGGTCTTGTTCAGAAAGAAGTCAGAAAGGAGAACGGTGAAAGAACTCAAGTTTGTGAGCATAATTGCATTGTAGTACAATGTACTAGTAGTACTATCATGTACTAAGGCTGTGTTTACATGAGAAATTTCAACCCGGGTCGAGTTCAGCCCGGGTTGAAAGTCTGTACGATAGACAAAAGAGGTGAGCGTTTACATGAAGTCAGTTGACCCGGGTCGAATACTGATACAGTCGTCCCTCACTAATCCAGCACTTTATAATCCAGCACCCTCGATAAACCAGCACACTGATTTTCAGTAGCCAAAATGTCCGCATCATGCACATTGCAGCAGTAAATCCGATTTGTTAATCCAGCACCCTCCCTAATCCAGCAGAATTTCCGTGGCACAAATGGTGCCGGATTATAGAGGGACCACTGTATGCATCAAAAAGTCCACTTCTACAGTCCTGTATGTTCACGTGAATCCGTTCGCGCAAAATTTGCATCTGCAGTGCCGTTCAAACCTAGCGCGAGATACGCACAGAAGTACGTTTGTACAATTTTTGACCCGGGTTGATTTCAACCCTCCCCTTAGGGGGAGGGTTGAAATCAACCCGGGTCGAGCTCAATGTGTCATGTAAACGCGCCATTCATTTTGTGCACATGGCGGGTTGAAATCTGACCCGGGTCGAAACCTCTCATGTAAACACAGCCTAATTACCGTTTTTTTTCTGTATTGGCACAGGCGCGTGCGCCAGTGCCCTTCAAGGGGGGGGGGGGGTCCGGGGCCCTCCCCCCCCCCCCGGGAAAATTTTCAAAAAAATGAAGCAAAATCCTGCATTTTGAGCGGAAAAAAGGGGGGGGGGGGTTCCGGGCACCCAGGAACCCATACGGGGCACGCGCCTGTGGCACTAGTACTTCATTCACCGTAAAGTACCGTTGATCCGCCCCCCCACGCCATTTCGCTTCCCAGCTGGGTTTTCGGCAGGGGGCGGGAATTAGATCAAGGCTGTCAAGTGCAGTACGATGTACAACAGCGTAGAGGATCAGACTCGATGTGCTGGATTGGCAGGCATTGTGTACAGCAGTGCATGCGTCGGTTCAACATCGTATTTCGTTGTATACGCCGAAGTCGCTTCACAGGTAGAAAATCGACAGAGGGCGGGAATTAGAGAGGGGGCGGATCAACAGTACTTTACGGTAATAGTATGACACCTCGACGATCAGGCCCGGGGAGCAGTCCGGCTAGTCGGGCCATGGCGGACTAACTTTCGACCAAGGATATCTATGCTGTCGCACACGAAATACAACAACAAAAACCACGGTCGGACGAATCAAAACTGCTGCCACCGATCCTGCTCATGTGTTTCAGGTTTCAGAATCCGAGTTGTGGGTCAGGAAATGTAAATAATCGTTGGATTTACGGAACACCGTAAAAAGTCCGTAAATATTAAAGTACCCGAAAGAAGAAAGTAAAATGGACGCCGCCGAATAAGTACCCGCCCGAAACAAATACCCCCTTCATTCTTTCGACTCTGTCTGTTGAAGTCGAGTCAAGCCCGATAAGCATACTGCCCGAAATAAGTACCGTTACGGTTCGCACTAGCAGCGTGTAGCACGTACATCTGCATGGAAAATGACTTCTCTACAGCACTACACGCAAGTCAGGTCCGAAAATTAGTTCGTGCCCGAAAGTCAGTACCCCGCCCGAAAGTTAGTACGGGCGTAACCACTAAATTCGAAAGTAAGTACGTACTTATTTACGGACTTCTACTGTACCACTTTAGTACAGTTGTGCTCGGTGAAGTCTGACCAAAAGTGGATATTTGCCGTATTTGGCGCCCTCGACTTGCACGGCCCGTGAAGCCCTGAGCGTGGTACGAATGCGGCTGGACGTACCCATGTGCAAGTAAAGTGATGTAATCGGAAGTGGTCCAGGGTGCCAGTTCTTCACTTTGGGCTGGGTTTCAGTGAGCGCATCTGTAGGATTTATGTTGACTGTTGCTAGATTTACTGGCGGAAATGCAGCAATGCGATTAGCCTACATGCTTATTCAATAGCCTTATAGGACATGATACGAGATCTGGATCTGGACAGCTGAAACGGTGTTTCTCATATGCCTGGTCTTCGCGTATCGCTGAGTGTCTCCCCCCCCCCTTCCCTGAGATGCTTTGAAAAAATCTTATTGAGAGCAGTGGAGTGGAGTTTGCATTGAGTTTGCACACTATGCTAAAGCAGGCAAAGATTGTTTCACTCTGATTTTTTGGTGCTTGAATATGGAATTGCAGGCACCATCAATGGCTGAAACGACGGATACAGCAGGCAGGCACTGCTGCCAAAGCCAGTAAGTATGAATGAAAGTGGTTGCAGCTGAACAAACGGTTTCATTATCAAATTCAACCTCGCTAAATGATGTGACCGAGCTCACATTTGTACCAGGATAGATGACAACAATGGTACCACTACGTACACCGACAATAATTCATTCCCTACACCTGCTTTATCATACACCTCATTGCCAGCTAGGATACCTTCGAGGAAACTCCGGATCATTGAATCAGGCACAGCGCCAGAAGATGAGCTGCCAGGGAAGTCAGAAGCCGTGAATAGATAATATAGGACATTCAGAGCGGAGATAACAGTGCACGCATTGCTCTGTAGCCTGCCGTTGATGAATGACTGGCACGAATGGCGGTGGAGTAAGGTAACACACTACGGACCTGGCCCGTCACCTGTCGATGAGTAAATGTAATCATGGTGTTGGCCTTCAGTCGACGAGCGGTAGGGTCGAACTGTTGACTTGTCCTCACAACTGCATTTAGTCGCTGGCTGACCGGTAGGATCCAACTTACATCTCTTGCGGTCTGCTTCAGTAGAGGAGCGACGGGGTGAAGACTCATTTTCATGATTGTCTTCAGTCGCTGACAGAGCGGTACAAGTTTCTGACTCGTCCTTGTGCTCTTCTTCAACCAGAGACCAATGAGGGGTAGCAACAGGCTCGGCCGTAGCGGGGTCAACAGTTCGTGACTGGTACAGCAAAGTAGAAGCAACTTCTTTGATAAGAGGCTGTTGCAAATTGACCAGGACAGCGCAAACCCTGCAGCAGGTATGGATTAACAAAATACAACAACAAATAATAAATAATAGCCCACACGAACTTCAATTGCACCTGTTTCGGTGAGATCTCAGTGCTCCGGTTCACAACCCTCGTAACAGACACAAGCTCAGAATTACTTCCGGGAGTCGTGTGATTATGAGAAAGGTGTGCAAAGTGAGTCGTACGTGTAAGGAAAAGCGTAGTATCGTCCTCTTTACGGAGGGGACGCAATGGGTGCCCAAACGGGTAAGGCACAAACGAAAGGGGTGCTGCGAATTAGCGCAGTAATGCAGCAACATTCCCATCTTTTTATGAATGGATTGTAGATCAAAAGCGAACGCCCCCTGGCTCTGGCGAGCTGGCGATTTTCTGCGATTTTGGCGTACACAGTGCAGTTCTCCGAAATTTGAAAAAGAGTCCAAAAAGGGTACCTGGACTGGGCGGGTTCGAACTACACAATGCACATGTTGCAGGCCGGGTCAAACGGCCTGGACTTTTGATGGTTTCCCCCAATTCAGTGCTTTTTTGGGGCAAAACCTGCCCGAAATCTTATTCTGGCTAGGACTTGCTTTTTTGGAGAAAAAGACTTCAGAAACATAATTGGAAGAGGATTCCAGAGGGAATTGCAGAAAAAATTCTAAAAATCCTCAAAGTTTGACCCGTTTATGGCTAAAAGCTAGAAGTCCATCTTTTTATGAATGGACTGTACAGGTTTTGACCGAATCCACTTCTTTCGGTTGATGTGTTCCTTTTTTTTCTACCCCAAACGGCAGATTCTACTTTTCCTCTGCCGACTCTACCAGGTTTGAGGCTGGTAAAAGTCGGTAGAAATTGGTAAAGGACAGTGTTTTGTACGTGCATGACCACGACAGCTGCTTTCATCAAAATGTCGTATACCGTACTGAAATTGTTGCAAAGATGGTTGATATTCTGTATAATACGGTCATTGCATCGTTGATGTACCGAAATGTGTGAATCTGCGTTCGAGAACATCCGCCTACTGTCTTTCTTTTTTTCCATAATCTGTTCTACTCTACCAAGGAGACAAAACGAATACAGCCTAAGAGAGTTATGTGTGTGTGCATGCGTGCGTGCGTGCGCATGTGTGCTTACATGCATGTGTGTGTGTGTGTGTGTGTGTGTGTGTGTGTGTGTGTGTGTGTGTGTGTGTGTGTGTGTGTGTGTGTGTACATGCATGTGTGTGTGTGTGTTTGTATGTGTGTGTGTGTGTGTGTGTGTGTGTGTGTGTGTGTGTGTGTGTGTGTGTGTGTGTGTGTGTGTGTGTGTGTGTGTACACGTGCGCGCACCTCTACGATAACAATGCCTGCTAGACACGGCCATTGCAAAGCTGGAGAGTGAAGTGGAGGGACTCGGCGAGGCCGAGATCAAGCAAGGGATTGAGGCTAGCCAGTCAAGGTGAGACATTGTCCCGCGAATGCAGCAGCTGGGCCTGCTGATCAGACTTCTGCCAGATGCCTATCAGTACAGCAATCCAGTGTTGATACGGAAGGAAGCAGAGTGAATGTGAGCGTGTCAGTGCTATGCCCATGCACTGTCTTGCCTTGACCAGTTCTGCAGCCATTTACTGTGGCTGTCAGCATACTTGCACATGTGCTTGCTATCATTTTACTCTGCTTTGGCCTGTTGTTTGTTACCCGCCGTCTGTAGGATCAAGCAGTTGAAGTTGGACCTGGACGAAGCCGTTTCACAGCACATGCTGAAACAACAAGCACTAGATACGTATGTGCCTGTGCTACTGCAGTGAATATAGTTTTAATGGAGTTCCTATTTCAATTCAGTGAAGAACTAGTACATTTTTTTTTTTGTCAGTTACACCACCACATGAAAGCACTGGTCGATCATCTTTGCGAAGCCGAAAAAAACAGAGAAAAAATGCTATAGAATTTTCTGTGGGGAGCGTTCTATGCCTGCGCGTGGAGTTGCAGACATGTTGGTGTCATGACGACATTACTCCACAGACCTTATTCTAACATAGTCTTGGACTCGCACTTGAAAATACCGCCATTCCTGCAACAGGCTCTCAGCTGCACCAAAAAAATAAATAACTTTGCCAATATTTCGCCCATTGGGCATCATCAGGGTATACCCTGGTTTTGGTGCAGCTGAGAGCCTGTTGCCGGAATGGCGGTATATTCAAGTGCAAGAAATACGCTGCAATGGAGTTTGGGAATTCTGAAGAAACGTTTAGTCTTGGTCTCTTTCGTTTTATTCTTCAGGATATCGATGAGCACAGCTGGCTACAACCAATTGCTTCCACTTCCGGAATCCTCTGAACTTGGAAGGAGAAAGAAGCCTGTGGCCGACAAGGGAAACGGAACTGTTGAATTGTAATTACTTTTCAAATGAACACCCCCATATGGTCTCTTACATACAACTCTGTGATGTGTAGGTTCATACGATGTACTCTTCTGGCACTGGTGATGACATGTGTTCTTCTTTATGGAGGTCGACTCGTGATAGCATTGTTATGCATGGCATGGGACGCTTGAAGGCGTAACAATGGCGAGTTGAGCAGATTGGGCCCGCTTGTCGTGCAGCACCTACGTGTCAGTTGACTGGCTTATGCTGGTCGTCCGGAACGCACCAATCCACGCAAGTCAAATGCGCTGGAATGTTGACTAGCATCACTGCATTTCTGTGGCTATGAAACAGCTTTTTGATGTGCATATCCGTGCTATCAAGTCTGGCATAATTATTCATCCTTGTATCTGCTGCTTGCTGTCCACTTCAGGAACGATTTAACCGACCTGTACACCTCGCCCACTGCCAAGGAGATGTGCCGGTT